GGCAAGCGACATGTCCTCCCCAGCAAATTTTACTCTCTTGCTTGATCGCCATGATATCCTTCGAGTTGCTCATCTGAATCTAACGTTGATCAGAATGACACTGGTTCGTAACACCCAAGCCTATCAGACGAAACGCGGCGCAATGTCTTCTCAATATACTTGTAGCTACCAAGGTTTGTAGCTTGTCCCGCTCCAGCACTGTCTCTTCTATTATTGCCCGCATGCCGCAATTAACTATTCCGGAAAAAATTAATATATAAGTATGCATAAGATGTGGATAAATTTTTGTCCAAAAGCCGAAATTTGTTGGTGCTTTCTCTAGTCTCCTTGGCTATATATGTACAAAAGCAGTTGCTTCAAAACGCTTAAGCTATCATTTTCTTAAGAACTTCCCCCTCCCCCCCTCTCCCTCTCCCTTTACCTTTCCTGCTTCCTGTCTACCAGTGGCTGAGGCAGTCCTATTTTTTCTGATTACTTTTAATTTTTTGTGATTTTTTCGAAAGCTCTTTTAAGATTTTTGAATTAAAGGTGCATGAACTTAAATCACCATTTTTTCGTAATCCATATTCCTTGGAGCGATAACATATTCTGAATTTAAGCATAAGTTCACAAAGATCAAAAGCAAGAATTACAACTGTTTTCAGGGCTACAATCCTGAATATCGCTAAATCCATGCTTTTCAAACTTTAGCTTCTAACTTCTGTGATTCTTAAGCTGGAATTTTTGAATTGAGAGGCGAGTGCACAAACAAATATCGTAAGAACTTAGGCTTCCATGCTGCAATTTTGAATAAATGCCTCTGCGAAAAATTATAAAACAGCAAAAATGGAGAAGCAACAAGTTGTTTGTGCAAAAAATCGCCTTTTTTCAGGCTTTTGTTGTGTTCACTCGAGTTAATGGTGTTCTCTTGTCACAAGCAGAAATAGCTAAACAGCTACACTTGGTCGTAAAACTTAGCAAAAGTCAAGATACGACAAAAAGTATGATTATTGCCGGTGGTAGCGTTGGTGACCGGGATGATTCTGCTAAATTTTGGTGCATAATGAATGAAGGCAAGTTGTCAAAAAGACTGAACAAGTAAACTCAAACCTTTGAGATTTTTATTTCCGGCATCAGCTGTTTAAAGGACATTTTTACTACAATGAACGCAAAATATTCAATGGTGCAAATATTCATTTGGTAAAAAACGTCAGATTTACTCAAGAGAGGGGTGGAAGAATACGTAGAAGCTGGGCCGGTAAAATGGGTCACAAGCCATTAAATTCTAACCTTCAGTAACCGCAGATGTGGTGTAAAATAGGTAGGGATGATGTTCTTGGTCACAAGATGCCAAAATCAGAATACACTAATTTTTTTGTCGATTTATCTGAAATCCACAATTACCGTCCTCCTTTTAATTGAACTATCTAAAATCTACAGTTGTAACAAGTATTCTCGAACTGCTCATCTCTGCTTAACAGTAAGGAAAGCAGTTAGCAGCGCAGTGCTAGGCTACGAAATCCTTCAAATTGTAGTAGGCTGAAAACGGCAATCATTAAACTTCGGTTCGGTTCGGCTCGCCTCGGCTCACCTCGGCAGCTGCACAATTTGCCA